TTCTTCTTCTTCTTTTTTTTTTTTTTAGGGTTATGCTTTCAGAGTAATGTTGGCTCGAGGTGAAGATCGGGCCCAAAGTTGCATTTAGGCATGCTGCAGTTAAGCCTGGAGATGGTCTCGAAAGAGTAAATGCCAGTCTAAAGAGTTATAATTAGAGCAGGTCTGTGTGATAAGGCTGCCTGCAGTTAACCACAGTGCTAATCAATCTTCCTTCTGTGATGCTTGTGTTGTGCCTGACGCCTGTGCAGTTACAGGCCCTACTTTGGCTTGTTCTGTCATGTTTGGGGCTCCTGTGTTGGTTTCTTTGAGTGATTTGCTGCCTGTGCCCGTAGCAAAGCCGGGGAAATATCTCCTTCCGGTTCCCATAAGGCTATCAGTGGTATTTGCATAAGTTTTTCACGTTATGAAACCTACAATGTGGGTGACCTTGATAGTACTGCATGGTTTTGTAAGGCAGTCATTTTTTTTTCTTAACACGTTTTGTAATGTGGAAACGAACCCATTTTAAACATTCACTCAGTGTTATAACATGTCAGCGGATACTGTTTAAGACATTTGAAAAGGGAAAATATAGTGGTCGTTATTTATTTCTATTCTATACTAGGCTCAGATCTTACAGGGAACAAGGGTATATTAATAAACAGTTAATTATCCAAGCCTTTTATTAAGCATGCTGGCTGCTCATATATGCCGTATGTGTCACCTCAGTGTAAATTGATATCAGTCAACAAGCAGTCTGAAGATGTTTGTGTGTGTTATGTTGTCATGTTAACATGTTTTTGTTTATGTTTTGTGTGTCTGAATGGAAAAAATATCGGCTGATGTATCGGAATATCAGATTTTTAAACTGCCAAATATAGATATGGGCATTAAGAATAATCGATCGGTCGGGCTGTTGGTTTTAAAAGAAGAGATTAAAAGATTTTATTTTATTATTTTAGAAGCTAAAACTAGAATATATAGAGTGCTTGTCAGAAGAATTATTTAAATTATTGTATAACTGGTCAATAGTCTGTTCCTTAAATGATTGCTCCTCCATATAACTGTCAAATAATCATTACTGTTTTTAATCGCTGGCTGAACAGAAAGGCCATTTAAATTCATAACTCTGGGCTCTGGAAACGTTTCCTTTTCTTTTACAGTTTAAAAATAATATTTTATTAGAAGAAGAAAAGAAAGTGGAAAACACGTAGCTCCATTCCTAAAATTTTACAACTAACGGTTGCTTGGGTTCTTCTCTCCAGCACCAACAGACCACATACTGTTTAGTAACCGCTCCCAGATCCACTCGAGCCTGAAACGACACGAAAAGGCTCTGATGGACGCTGAGATGGCCTGTAGACTGATGCCTCACTGGTCCAAGGTACAGCAGAGAAACTGTAGCTTTTAGTTCATTATATTAAACACTTGCCCTAGTGTAGTAGCAAAGTGAATAAGCTGCAACATGCTGCATGTTTCTTTTGTGTACAGGGTCACATTCGCAAGGGCCAGGCCCTGGTGTCATTGGGCAGGAGTGAGGAGGCTCTAAGAGAGTACCTAGTGTGTCTGTCCATAGAGCCTGACTGTAAACTTGCTAAGACTGAGGCTTACAAGGTAAATATGGCCACTGTTATCTTGTGACCTGCCCTACTGCACATTAAATACAACAAAGCATTTAATGTTTTAAGGGAAAACACTAAGTGTGTTTTTGCAGTGTCATCAAAATAATGACATAATGGCTTATTTTCCTCTTTCAGATTCTGAGTGATCTGCTGGCTCCAGTCAGAGATCAGGTCCCTGAACACATCTCTGACTACACCAATATACTGTCTTCCAGAGCACACATCAAAAACAGCATCAGTGCTCCCTTCCATGTAAGAGATGTTCCACGTCTGGAAGTCAGCCAATCCAAATCAAGTCCACATGAAGTTTCTCTTTAATTTATTTTCTTCTTCTCTGCATCTCTACTCTCCATCCTCAGACCCTTAGTCCCTCATCGCTGTCTCCAGAGTCTTATCTTACCTCCACTCTCCCTGCACCAGAGAGGTCACCAAAGGAGAATCAAAGCAAATGTCAGGGGAGGACAGAGGTCAGGAGGTTTGACCAGTGCTTCCTTACCAAACGGAAACGAAGGATTTCAGAAGAGGAGGCAAAAGTGGAGCTTCAGGGGAAGAACAATGATCACAAGAGATCCAAATCTGGTGATTATACAGTGATGCACAATCATACGCTGTCATATACTATTAGCAACTTCAGCATTGATTGTTGATTACCTCTACATTTAGAGCCAAACGAGGAGCCGGAATATTTGAGCTCTGTGGACACCGACCTCTTTGACCCCGCAGATCTGGAGTGTCCTCTTTGTATGAGGTGAGAGCAGTTTGATTTACAGCTAGGTTTACGCAACTGACACTGGACACGCAGGCTGTGTAGGGCCAGAATGCAAACACACTGAATCTTACGGTTTAAATAAGCCATTTTATTGCTGTTGTAGTGTAGCTTACCCTTGTTTGTCTGTGGCTTTTCACTGTTTGTGTGTTTCCCATCTAGACTGTTCTATGAACCAGTGACAACACCGTGTGGGCACACTTTCTGTCTTCAGTGTTTGGAGAGATGTCTGGACCATAACCCAAAGTGTCCCCTTTGTAAAGAGGATATGTCTGAGGTAGGTGGCACGGGAATTCAATAAACTTTTCAGACTGACCATCCACATTCAATAAGGCCTGAAGCAATGATTACCAACCAGGGGTATAATTATTCCTCTGCAGTAGCCAGGTGCTGTGTGGAAAGATACATTACCTAATCTAAAGAGAAAAAACAGTGAAATTATTGAGAATTTATGAGCTCTGAAAAGGTTTTGTGAAGAATTTAAAGTAACTGTATAGATAAGCAATAATGAAAAAGGTTAAAAGCTTGTTATAGGTATGGCTAACAGTTAAAGTTTGCTAAAAGATATGCTTTGTGTGTGTGTGTGTGGGGGGGGGTTAACAGTAGGCATAAACAAAAGTAATTATTAGCTACACATGATAAATAAAATGTGGCTTAAACTAGCTAGCTGAAATTATAAAATAAAAAGTTGGAAAACTGGTTAGCTAGCTATTGAAATGGTTAGCTAGTAAATGAATAAACATTTCTGATCACAGCTGAAAATAAACTGCAGAAACTGATCATTTCACATGATGAATGATAAATGTAATAGTAGATTTAAAAAAAAATAGAGGATGGATGCTTAAGGTATTTGGGATTTAAAAAAAAAAAAAAAAAAAAAAAAAAGACAGTTATGCTAATGCTAACTGATAAACGGTCCGCTAAACATAATTGCTAAGGCTAAAGCTGAAAGTAGCTCGAGATCTTGTCTAAAACAAGTTCTGCTAAGGATATTTGATGTTGGGGAAGGTGGTGTCAACTTATCCCACATGTCTTTGGGGGTTATTGTAAACTACGGATCTAAGGTGGATTCCAGAGTTGTTATAGAGCAAAGTCGGTAACCTAGCCTATTAATGAAGTTGAGTCTTTATAATATTGTTTATATTGTTGTAGAAACCATGTTTTATTTAGTTTGGTTCATTTCTTATGCTCCAGTAATAATGTCATTGTCAGGGCTTTGAGCATATTTGATTTGTGCATCCCTTGAAACCAGGCAGACTAACAAGGTTGTGGGACAACAACCACAGGAGACATCCTTATTGTGTCATTCTGCTGCTGTTAACATATTCATTGTGTCTGTCTCCAGTATCTGGTCCAGAGGAAATACTGTAAGACGGTAATAACTGAGAACCTAATATCAAAGTATCTTCCCTCTGAGCTCATGGAAAGACAGAAAATCCACCTGGAGGAAATGGCTGAGCTCTCCAAGTAAGTTCATATTTCCCGCTCTTCTCCACTGTCTTATTATCAGGCTCTGCTTATATTTCTTTCTCCCAGCAAGTCTTTTGATGGATTGCAGCTTATGTGTGACATTAACATTTTGAGAATATCCTCGGCTGTTTGACCTACTGACCTACAACTGACGGCACACGTGTCCGACACAGTGAGCTCTGAGTGTTGGTCATTCAGGCTTCAAGTGTCACTTTCCTGACGGCCAATGCATAAATTAATTCACTCTCACGTTAACCAGTGTCTTTTACATTTGGCCTAAAGGTCACCTGGAGTTTAAGTTAACTTTTTTTTTGTTTGTTTTTTTTTTTTTTTACAAAAGATTTTCATTCATGTTGAATTTTTAATTGAAAGTTGTTGTTTAGTTTTTGGGGGTTTTTTTGGGTTTTTTTTACACGATATCTCCTCCTCAATGAAAATAAAGAGGTTTTTTTCCGTGTCTCCCCTTAGTCTTAACAAGAATGTGCCTATATTCGTGTGCACCATGGCCTTCCCTACTGTGCCGTGCCCTCTCCATATCTTCGAGCCCTGCTACAGACTGATGATTCGCCGATGCATGGAGACGGGCACCAACTGCTTTGGCATGTGTCTGGGAGATGACCTCAAAGGGTTAGTACTTTGACTGCAGCTGTGTGGGCTTGGTGTTGGACTATGAATGCACATAATGCTAACTTGCTCCCTGCGCTTTCTCCTTCGGCCTCCAGGTTTGCCGACTACGGGTGCCTACTGGAGATCCGCGATGTCAAGTTCTTCTCCGACGGCCGCTCGGTTGTGGACACGATAGGCAAACGGAGGTTTAAAGTAATTCAGCACAGCGAGAGGGACGGCTACAACACAGCTGACATAGAGTACCTGGAAGATGTTAAGGTATGAGGTGGTGGGGTTATGGGCTGGGAGAGTGAGAGATGACAGGATGAGCTTAGACTTTATAAGGTGTTATTAACATCCTGGTCTGAAAACAAGTTGATGCACAAGTGTCTGAAACTAGCATTCTTTCTAATGGCCAGCAGGGGGCAACCCATGTTGTTGCAAAACCAACACCAACTGAAAAAGAAAAGCCAATTTCATAATTGATTTATGACCCGAGTAAACATTTTCCGATTATTTCAGAGCCCCAGTTGCAAGTTTCAAGTCTTGTTTAATCCAGTGTGATGCTCATTTATTAAAATATAGTTTCATTTAGAAGAAAAAAAAATTGATGATAAAGCAGGATACAGTATGCTGTGGCTACTTTGGGATTATTCAAGCATGCAGTGTCCCTCCGTTACTCAGCCAGAAGCACAAGTCTAGCTTTGCATCTGCTTTCAAAAGATTTTATGGTTTTAAGAACTAGTCTATAGATGTATGCAGCAAAGGTGAAGTTTTCCACCTGGAGAGTTATTTAGAGAAGGACGGTGAGCTGCTGCTAAGATGTTAAAGCTCAGAGGTGTTGTTGTCCGCAGGTGGAGGGCGTAGCAGAGCGCGAGCTGCAGTGTCTGCATGACGTGGTGTACGAGCAGGCCGTGTATTGGGTCAACTCTCTGAAAGCTGAGCAGAAAGCTCGCATTGAAGGCCACTTCGGACCAATGCCTGACAAAGACTCTGAACTTCAGGTACACACAGTCTGTTTCTTTTATAGCTTCTATTTTTATATAGTGGGACTAAAGTATCCAAATTTTTCTTCTACTTCATTTTGCCCTTTAAAACCATCTCACTTGTCTGTTTTTTGCTTGCAGGCCAGCCCTAACGGTCCCTCGTGGTGTTGGTGGTTACTAGCAGTTCTTCCTTTAGAGGGCCGAGCTCAGCTACCGTTCCTCGCCCTCACATCTCTGAGAGACCGTCTCAGCGGCATCCGCAAGGTGCTGCTCTTCATGTCGCAGAACAGGAGCCGGTGATGCGCGCGCCTGACCCTAAAGCAGCAGTTGACCTGCTGTTCTTCCTCTTTGGAGCACAAAGAACTGACGCTGATGGCGTTGCACCTTCCCCGTTCCCCGCCGATGTCATCCAAGCATCAACAGCAAACTTTAACTAAGCAACAGTTGAGATAACGTGGATCTGAATGAATAACAGACGCCTTCCGTCATCACTTTCACAGAGCAGCAGTCCTGGCAGACCCACCAACTCGAGCTGTGTTCAGACAGATCGGAGAGTCTGGCATCACAATTGTCTGTTTGAAACCATCAGTCGTCACGCTGTTACATCACTGTATTTCGTTGATAATATGCACATGCTAGTGTACTTTTTTTTTTTTTTTTTTGTATAAGAAAAAGCTGCTGTGCTGCAATCTCTTAATCTGCCCAGATTGCCACTCTCACCTTTCTGTCTGTCTGCCATGTTTGCAGTTCTCTGCTCTTCCTTTTGCCACACTTTGCAGTTTGGTCAGAGCGTCTTCTAAAAAGATTTGTCAGAAAAACCCAATACGAGTGTCATATATGTGCTTCCTGTCTGAACATAACCTACAGAGCAAAGACAAATGATCCTCCCAACGAAACAGCCTGCAAATCAAATCATCAGCTGGACATGGCGAGTCATTTAACCGACCATGTTTGTCTTTAAGTGTACAAATGAAGAAAGATCAAACCTTAGTATGAATATGAAAAATGTACTCTCCGTACATAATATACTCTGTTTACTTCATCTACTCTCTTACCACCTTTAGTGTATCTTGCAGTAATTAGTCCATCAGCTCTTCCGTCTTTCCTTCATGGCTCCTCCCTTCTTCCTCTCTCATTCAAACGAATAACAAGAGAATCAGCTTTTACGTTGGTGTGCTTTAAAAGCTTTTTGTTCTTGTTTTATTCATTTTTTTGTATGTTTTGACATTGATTTCCGTTATTTATTCATAGTTTTCATTTATGCATGCAGTGACGTTGTTTACATTTCACAAAAAGAGAGCTGCTCACGTTCCAAAGTCCTCCTTTTTTTTAATTTAATTTTTTAAAACTCCACCTATACGCAGCTTTTACAATCAAAATGTGGCACCAACATGGAGCTGGCACGCCCTCAAACCAAACCTTTTTCTAGATGATGGCTGGTGATCCACATTGATTATGTGTGTTGACTTGAACATATTTGGATCCCCGTGCTGTGAGAAGCATCATTCAGCATCATGGACTCATTACCAACAATATTTGGAGTTTGATGCCATTATCTGCTAAATGTATTTATTCAGTATTTATTTGCACTTTTACATCAAGTAAGGGAAACGAACAGTGCAGGCAGAAAAAAGCAAAGTTCTCTGTTTTTGTTTTTTTTATTAATTTTTTCTTTGGTAAAGGGTGACGCAACAAAACAAAACACAACTGATGTTTTTTGTAAAGGCCAGTGCCTTCTATCCGCACACAAAGACGATGATGTGGATCCAGTTGTATACCATTTAAACCAGTTTTAATGGAAAGCTGTTGCTTCCAAATAATAAATTCACAGCAGCATAAAATAAAAAAAACAAAGCAAAAAGCTTTCCTGGAAACCCGCCATTATATTTTTGAGAAAAAAAGTTGTTTGAAAAACAAACGAACATTGAGGCCTTGCTGATGTCTGCGACGCAACTGTTTTTACACGGCAAAAGCCGGTCTCTGACAAACGCCGGAGACCGTTGAGCTTTGCCTTTAGGTTCTTTTGTTTTCTATATGTGTGTTTTGATTTCTACATGTTTTTACGTCAGTTGTATTTGATGATTTTCTTCACTTACCGATGTTTCTGCGTTTCATGTGTGAGAGCACTGGGAAGGCCTAAGCCCTGTCATGAGGCTAATACGATGTGGCTGATAAATAATTTGTCAATAAGGTGTTGATACACTTGCAATATGACAGAGTCAAACAGCAATAATTGGCCGTGTGTTGTCTGGCATTGTAATATGTTATGTTTAATTCTTACAGAAGACTGTCTGAACAGATATTTGTACAAACAGATATAACATATAGTCATGTTATATGACTGACCCTCTGTTATGAATGGTAACTACTAAAAATGATAGCTCAAACTGGACAGGAAAGGGAATAGTCATCATATAATCATGCATTTGTGTGAAGGTGTCATGCTTGAACCTTTTCACATTAATCAGTCTGGAATATTTAAATAAAGGGAAATTTGACCTAAAATGAAACCACATATTCTAAAACAGCATGAGGAGCCAGTTCTTTAAAGAACATTAAAACAAAAATCACAGAAACATAGACTTTGGTTTGATATCTCTGAACGGTCTTTCATTCTGGCAGCAGTTTTAGTGCCTTAACTTTGAATTCTTCCATTTTTACTTAAACTGCAGTGGCAACTATGGTGATGTGTTGTGCAATAACCTGGGTCTCTCTTGATAACATAACATATGTTGTTGTAAATCTCACCCTGAAAACTGAAGTATCACTTCGCAGTAAAACCTTCAACAGCTGGTGCATTTAACTTGAAATAATGCTATGCACTGTGTAATTTATTCCCATACAAAGAACAAAGAAGAGTGGCCAAGGCAGTTTGTAGCATTACCTTGGGACGGTACACTGAGTAGGGCAAATCTCTGTTGGTGTTTTTGGTCACTTAGCCTCTTCAGCAGGCTGCCCCACTGATGGTGTCTGGAGGTCAAAAGCTCTGCAAACCAACCACTGGCTCCACAGCTGATTTTTAGCATCTAGTAGAACTTAGTGTGACGTAATACCAACATTTCTCGTCTGTCCATACAAAAACCAACCAACTAGCAATAACCACTAATGTGGGCTATGTTTCTATTTTCAATTCAATTCAATTCAATTCAATTTTATTTATATAGCGCCAAATCACAACAAATGTCGCCTCAAGGCGCTTCATAGATACAGA